CTCCAGGACTTTCTGAGTTCTTACTCTTTTTCTTGTTCTTCTTGGTGGTGTTATTCTAGAATGTGTCTATTCACCATTTGTACTTGGAAGGTACAAAGTAGTTAATGTGGTTTTTTTGTTTGTTTGTTTGTTTGTTTTCTTCTTCAAAATTAAGTTCTAATACATGAAACTTGGTATTTATTCCTTTTTTTTCCCCCTAGGATTTTGATTTTTTGGGGATGAGTGGGTTGTGGTATTCTGCTTGGGTAGCAAATAAAATGCAAAGCAAACTGTTAACATTCTCAGCTTGATGAGAAATGTGTGGGAACCACCAACCCAAGTTCTCAGAACACAAGGCATACCATTGGTTAGCAATGCCTAGCATTATCCAGGATTTGGTAAGAGGAAGTAAGAACTTTTTACTGAAAATACTCGAGAGTCCTTGTGTTAGGCTTTGGAAAGTAACAAGCTGATTTTCTTTTAAGGTTTTAAGCTTAAAGCCTAGAATTCTAAAATAACTGTAGGGGGGATGGTTCAGAGAGCTGACGGTTTGCATGAGAATGAAGCAATTGCCATTAGTAGGCAGGGGCAAAGGTCCACCTGTGAGTCAGAAGGAAGCTGGCAGTTTGGAGAGATGGGTCACTATTACTCTAAGAAGTGGAAGATTCTAGAATGTTCTTCCACACAGTTCTTACAGCTCAAATGCCAGTAAGTGTTATTTGTGGAGTATCTCTCTGAGTATCTGATGCCTAGTAGGTTTTGGCTTTTTGAGAGAGTCTTACTCTATAGCCCTGGATGGATTAATACTAAGTAGTCTGGGCTGGCTCATACTTTCTATGTAGCCCAGGCTAGGCTTAACCAGCATGGCAATCCTCTTGTCTCAGCTTCACAAGTGTTGGAATTATAGTCACACACTACTATAGCTTTTGGTTGTCTTGACCTGATTCCCTCTACCCAGATTCAAAAGAAATGTCTATGGGTGTTTGACCCTACATCAATAAGCCAGCAACTGAGCATGTAAAAAAAAAAAAAAAAAAACTCAATTGAGGGTAATCACAAGATTTCAACAATTCCAGAAAACACTGAAACCACACAGAACATGACAGAATATAATGGTCATCAGAGCACTGGCTGCATGCGCACATGTTGCTTAGATGCAGTACCCAATAGGAACTATGTAATACAAAAAATGCCCTTGTGATACCCATGAGTGCTCCTCCTTGCTTTCTCGCTTTCTTGGTTATTTTCTAAGCAGTTTGATCCTTGCCACATTTGAGTGATTGAGGCTTAGAAGAATTAAAACAATCAACTGCATTTGGCTATCAAGTAGTGACACAAGAATGTGAACCAGAGCTGGCTGGTAGTGGTGCACACCTTTAATCCCAGCATTTAGAAGGCAGAGGCAGGTGGATCTCTCTGAGTTCAAGACCAGCCTGGTCTACAAGAGCTAGTTCCAGGACAGGCTCCAAAGCTACACAGAGAAACAGTGTCTCGAAAATCAAACAAACAAAAAAGAATGTGAACCAGGATCTGTTTCTAAAGAACTGCATGCTTTCACCATGGCATGTAGCTGTCCCACCCCCAAGCCTGGTTTAGCAGTACAAGCAACTTTGGGAGTTTGTCATAAATGTTAGTGAAATTCCTCTCCAGCTTTGGATTGAGCCCAGGGTAGGCTGGGCTTGCCACTTGAGGCTGCACTGTAGGGGAAAGGTATGGAGTGCATTCATGGGCAACTGGATGGCAAGTCCCTGTGCCTTCAGCCAGCTGTCTGCCAGGCTCTCTGTGGGAGGACAAGCTGACTCCCACACACCCCCAGAAATGAAAGAACTCATCATAGCACAACATCAGAAGAGGGAATCTTTATCTTTGTAGGAATAAAATGAAGAAAGAATGGCAAGTTGTAATTTTCTCCCCTCCCACACCCGAATAATCTAGGTATATATTTTGCATGTGGGATGCATTTGGGCATGATCTATGAAGGTAATTTCTGTTCACTTGCTCAGTTTTGAGTGAGGGAACATCATGCTCGGAACTTCTGGCAGCACGTAGATTAAAATCATGGAGCTGACTTACTGACATTCTGCAGCTGCAGATCACACCCTAGGCTTCCTCATCAAAAAGGCTGTGCTTGTAGAGTCGGTGCTGACTTATTAATAAAGAGCAGGCCTTTATTTGATTATTTATCTAATCAAGATTCACCTTCAGTCTAAGCTCATTAAGTCTGCTGCTGATAGAGTATGCTTGAGGTGAAATTACACTCAGTGACACAGAGTGAGTCCAGGCTTCACAGCCAGGACAGAAACAGGGTGTAGCTGGGGTCATCTGAGGTGGGGGTCACCATGGTGGGGGGGCACCCAGGGGTGGGGCAGAGCAAGTGAACTGTCTGTTCACCAAAGAGGATGGGCACATTTCACAAGGTTAGTTCTGAATGCACTTGGTAACAGAGCAAAGGTGACAAGCACTCTCATTAGCTCAGTCAAGAATGATACTGCCTGTGTCACATCAGGGCAACTTCTCTAAGGGACCTTTCTGTGCAATTAGAATCAGGATGCTGGTGCTCTTGGTGCCACAGCCCAACTCCTGGTGGCTTCTGTCTAGACCGCTTGCTTCTCTTACTGGCCTAACATTGCAACACAAGTTTTGCCAACGCCAAAGTATTTCTCCTGTCACAGATAAATCTTCTGCATGACTTCTTGTCCAGTAATAGAAAGTTCCATCTTTCCTACCGCTAAGGAGTGTCCTGCTACCACAATGCCACACTGAAAGTGAGCCTGCCCACCAACACAGAGCTAGCTGTGCTAAGGCCAATGTGTCTTCTCCCCCATACACCCCCCCCTTTAAAACACAGCAGCTCAGAATGGGCTAAACTATGTATCTAGGCAGATAAGAGAGTTAAGTACTTCCTGAGTTCATATTCTTATTCTCTGAGTTCTGCTGAGAAAACTGACCAGGTAACATCCAGCAAAGAGAGGGAGACCCCTCCCATCTTTTATCACCTTTAAAACCTGGCTTCAGACCCATTTATGAAGAATCACTCAGCTCCCATCCCTGAATTCATTGAATTCTGTATGGCAGGCCTAGTCATGAGGATGTGACCTTTGCCCTCTGTAAGTTTACAGTACCCAGACCTGGACATACAGTATGGAAAGAGTAGCAAGGAGAAGATAGGGAAGGAATGTGTCTTATTCATTCATTCTTTCCAGACATATGACATGTCAGAATCTGTAGGAGGTGCTGAAGGTGGGGTCAGAGGACAAGACAAAGAAGCAGGTGATGATGGAGATGCTGCCTGACTAATTTAGCAAAGGGTAGAGTCTAAGTATCAGTAAAGAGAGGAGACCATGTAAGCAACTTCTCAGCACATGGAATCTCCATTAAAGACCTTAAGTATTTCTTAGTTTTAAGATTGTGATTGAAAGTATACACCAACAAGCACTTATCACCCCACATATCAGTGTCCCTTCCAGAATCATCCTACCCAAGAGCTGGTGTAGCCAAGGCCAACACTTTACAGTCCTTTTAAACATGGTTTACAAATGTCAGTGGTAATACAAAATGGGATAGTGATGAAAATAATTGCAAATACAAGACTGTCCATTCTTCCAGAGAATCTGCCTCAGTTTCAGGAGCTGCCCTGTAGGTCAAGAACCATGACCTTCACACTTAAAACCTTTTGTCTTGGGACTTAGGAGGTGCCTTAGTTAATTCTCCATTGCTGGCTAAAATACCATGGCCAAGTTGCTTCTCAGAAGGAGGGGTTTATTTTGGTTTACCATTCCAAAGAGATAAGAGTCCATTACCACAGAGGGAAAGCTTCATAGCAGGCTGGCATGGTGACTGGAGCAGTAAGCTAAGAGCTCACATCTTGACCTACAAACAGGAAGCTGAGAACAAAGCTGAGGAATGGCACAGGGCTGAGAACTCTCAAAGCCCACCCCCAGTGACATGCCTCATCCCCAATGATTCTTCCTCCAGCAAGGCCACACCTCCTAAACCTCCCCCAACAGCACCACCAGCCAAAGACCAAGAATTCAAAACCTCAAGCCTCTGAGGGTTGTCTCATTCAGATCACCACAGGAGGGGAGAATAAAAACAAGTCACTGATGTTTCTGGTCACAGCGGGTTTGAAAATCTTACACAATTGGACTTAAAATCCAATCTGTGCATATTATGTCTGCTGCCTGTTTCCATCCCTGAACCTCTGAAGTAGCCTTTGAGATGCCTGCCTTACTTTCTATCTGTTTACATGTATAGCCCCTTCACTCTGTTAACTTCTTGGTTTTTTTGGAGACAGTGCCTTACTATGTACCCCTGGCTGGCCTGGAACTTGGTATGTCAACTACACTGACCCCAAATTCACAAAGATCTTCCTCCCCAGTGCTGGAATTAAAAGCATGTGCCACCATGACCTGCCTTCACTTCATTAATTTCTAAAGAGCCAGGGAGGGGGAACCTTGTCTTGAACTCCTTGTCACTTACCATTATCTTGCTGACAGTGAGCATTTAGTGAGCATTTGCTGTATAAACCATGGTGTCCATTTCACTTCCCAATTCTTCTGGTCTTCCTTTGACCTCAAACCTGAAATTTACCAAAGAACCCTTATTTTTAGTGGAAAAGTATCCAAGCAAATGAAGACAAGAGGCCAGTTTGCAGTGATGAGGCATGGAAAAGATAGTCCTTGATAGCTACATTTGTGAAATCATTGCTCACAATGAGGCAAGTGTCTGAGTCATTCAACCAGTATTCTTACTGGAAAGGGAGTGCTCATTGCATGAACCAATATTGCAAGGTCTACTCGGAATGGCTCTAAGAGTACAGGAAATAATACATTACAGTGATACTAAACTCATCTGTGAAACACATGGAAGACATTGCTGTCACATAGAAATTACCTTTGAAATAGGTGACAAAGAAAAGTCAAGGCCAACAAGCCTGTGCTGTTAATCAGGCTAGGAGGGGAGGATGTCTACTGTGAAGCTTCTGCTCCAAAATACCCTATTTCTGTGCTCCATTTTCTTAGGTGGAATTGGCTGTGTGGGCCGAGACAAGGGACAAGTTCGGAAATGCCTTGATGTGGTGGAGATCTACAACCCTGATGGGGACTTCTGGCGGGAAGGCCCACCTATGCCAAATCCCCTCCTCTCACTAAGAACCAATTCCACCAATGCAGGTGCCGTGGATGGGAAGCTCTATGTCTGCGGGGGATTTCACGGGGCAGGTACTGGTCTACCTATAAATATAGCATGAACCTCTTGGCATTGACTTTTACCTCCATTTCGTGACTTGATGGTCAGTGCTTGCTTTTCAGAGTACTGAGGCACTGGCAAGAGTCTGGCTTTCAGAGCCCAGTGGCTGCAGCAGCTCCCTAGATTCTCTGGGGCTTCACCTGTATGAAATGGTGAGAATTCTGTGGGTTTAAGTCTATAATACATGTAGCCCATGACAGCCACCCAGCCTATAGTGGTTGAGTATGAAAGGGAGAGAAATAGAAGAGGAAGGCAAATTCCTGGTAGTAAGGACTAAAAGAAAGATTCCACACAGGAAGGACACAGAATCAGAGGAATGAGCAGAAGTGTTGGGTGTTAGGTTTTTAGCTGCCAACCCAGAAAAACCTTACACCACCCACTACCACTAACTACACTAAATTGTTTGAATGCTTTTCTAAAATGATGACTAGTATATATACTTATTACTGGACATACACATCCAATACCATCATTGCATTTTGCAGCATGGAGCAGGGAGGCTTTTAAGTATGCATAAATCTAGAGGCCAATGTCTCTAAAGTCTTATTGACTGCATCAGTAAATAAGGCAGAATGCCTTCATAATAGACTGACTGAAGTGTTAAGCCGATACATACCCATGAGACACATGCCCCGGAGCACTTAAAGAAGACAGATTAAAGTAGACTCGCCTTCATTTTATAAGCATATGGTTTTAGGTAACTCGCTTAGAGAATGAGGCTTTCATTGTGAGTTAAAAGAGACTTGCTGGGAGATGGTGGCGCACACCTTTAATCTCAATACTTGGGAAGTAGAGGTAAGCAGATCTCTGGGTTCCAGGCCAGCCTCGTGTACAGAGTGAATTCCAGGATAGCCAGGGCTACACAGAGAAAAATTCAAGAGAGAGAGAGACTTAGTAGTTAGAGAGATGGCTCTGTTGGTAAAGCACGAGGACCAGAGGAGTCCAGTCCTCCAAAACCCATGTAAAAAGCTGGGGATGCTTAGAAGATATAGGAGTCAAATGCAGTAAATTTTTGTTTTTTATTTAAATCTTTTGAAAAAAGGTATTTTTCAGATAGTGTGGAAAATTTAAAACTAGGCCATTGTATTAGATGATATTAATGAGTTATTTTAGAGACAATAATGGTATTGTATTTTATATAAATCCAAATAAAAATAATACTCTAAACAGAGATTATATTTGAGTATTTGCAGTGAAAATAATGCACACTGTCTGAAGTCTGCTCTACTACAGCGATTTTTTTAAAAAAATATTTTTAATTTAAGTATGTGTATGTATGCCACATGGTGACCTTGGAAGCCAGAAAAGTGTCAGATCCTTGGGAGCTGGACTTATAGGCAGCTGTGAGCCACCTAACCTGGATACAGGGAACCGGACTCAGGTGCTCTAAAAGAGGAGCAAGTGCTCTAAACCACTGAGCCATCTCTGCAGCCCTGACACAGATTGTTTTAGTAGGAGGACCTGATTCATTCTGCAACACTGGTGAATGTGATCATTATTAGAACTGGGTGATGTGTGCTGGACTGAGCTGCCTTCACCAGTTCACTGCTGTGTGCTGGAAAGCCCACAAGACTTTACAGTCCTTTTAAACATGGATTACAAATGCCAGTGGTAATACAGAATGGGATAGTGATGAAAATAATTGCAAATACAAGACTGTCCATTCTTCCAGAGAATCTGCCTCAGTTTCAGGAGCTGCCCTGTAGGTCAAGAACCATGACCTTCACACTTAAAACCTTTTGTCTTGGGACTTAGGAGGTGTCTTAGTTAATTCTCCATTTGTACTTCAGAGACTTTCCCAAAAGGTCTTTAAATGTTATATTTCATTTTATTTAGTGTGTGTGGATACAGTGTCTTGAGTGTGAGGTCCCAGGGCAGCTTTTGGGAGCTGGTTGTCAATGTGGCTCCTGGTGATTGAACTCAGGTTGTCAGGCTTTGCAGGAAAAGACTTTACCTGCTATCTTGCCAACCCAAAGAGGTTTGGTTTTGGTTTTTTGTTGTTTTTTGTTTTTTAAAGTTAGTATCTCTTGCTTCTTGAACATCATCCTTGCTTGAGGTTGTAATGTCTCACAGTAGCAAGAAAACTGACAGTATAGGAAATCTAAGCCCTGCTTGTGTGAGGAGGTTTGGAGCCTTGAAAGATTGCCTGATGAGGGTTTGGACACTGGGCTCTCCTCTAGTTTGGTCTGTGAGCTTTGTTGGTCATCTGACTGCTGACTTTCTCTTGACCAGAAAAAAAAGGGCTGGCCTCTGAGAATGGGTGGTCACCAGCATCTAAGGCATTAGAAGGTCGATGGCCTTGCCTTATGTCTGGGTCATACCTTCCCTGTATAGAGTTAAGAACCTGATGTCCTCTGGCTTTTCAAAAGGGTGATAAACTCATCCTACATGCTGGACTCTCAGTGGTTCTGTAACAGACTGATGATGCTTCCAGCTGCAAAGAAAAAAAATGAATGACCTCATGAGCTCCCAAAGCCCGTTTTTAATGAATGAATTGTCATTGAGATTTTATGCAAAATAGAGTAATTGGATGACAGCATGCTCTTGTCACCTAGAGTTGTCACCAGACCTAAAGAGACTGTGTTTTTTTCTCCTTATGTGACAATACACAGATAGGGCTTACTTTTCCATTTATTTATCTAGGAAATCAAAATCAAGGAATTCCCTCCTCCCCTTCCCCTATATAGACAACATCTCACTCTGTGACCCACAGTGGCCTGAATTCACTGTTACCCAGGCTAGACCTCAGGCTAGACAACCTTCATGCCTCAGCCTATCAAATGCTACAATGACAGGCATGAGCCACCAGGCCTAACTCCTGATCTCTTAATATTGTCAATTCTGTAGAAGTTTATTGAAATACCCTCTTGAGATCTTCAACATTTGATTTGAAAGACAGATACATTAGCACACAATGAATAGTGATTTGTCCTTGGGTGAAGTTGAACACCTTTATTTCCCTCTAAGTTCCTAAAATAATAGCAGAGTAGATATGGTCTAAGAAGAGAAGAAGGACAAAAGCAACAGAACACTGGAAGCTGGAAAGCAGATGAGCATGTGGCAGTTAGACCTGAGACAGTTTAACCCTAAACTAGGAGAAAGGAAAGGAGAGCAGGTTGGTACCACAGAGTCCCATATACCCTGAGAAGCTGGCAACAACAGGTGGCTTTGGGTGGAGGAGTAAGGGTGATACTCAAAGTGTGAACAGGACCTGAAAGACAGGAAGCCACCCAATCACCTGTCCAGATCTCACAGAGAGACAGAGCTTTCATCCCAAAAGGGACAGAGGTGAGGACGGGTCCTGAGGTCATACTAAAGATGGGAATTAAGAGAAAGATCACACTGAGTTGAGATCCCCAGCTATCTTCCTTCCCGGACATCTAGAATGCTGACAGTTTCACCCTACAGAAATCATGATTGCAAGTCAGTCCACCTATGATGAGAGTCATAGAAAAACATCCCATGATAATCCCATGCCCCCACATGCATGTGTTTGTGTACATATATTTACACACATATATGTGTCTGTGTATAAATATATTTGTTTTGACCAGGTCTCACTACGTAGTCCTCCCTGGCCTTGAACTTGTAGTCCTTTTGCATCAGCATTCCAAGTGCTGGGACTTGGCTAGTCATGTTTAAAGCAAACAGCTAAACATCATAGACACTTGAGGAAAATGTACAAAACAGAGTAGTTCAGAAGATCAGGGACTGTGCCAGGAGAAGCTGCAACCTGAGAGATGAAGTAAATGCTATGTTGAAGGAACAGGGAATGGATAGTGAAGAGATTTCCTGGAAATTGAATCTATACTAGAAATGTTAACAAAGATAGTTGATGAAATTGGGGAAGAGAAAGGAAGCCCAGGAGGCCCAGCCTTGGAGAAGCAAAACCTCTGGCAAATAGAACAGAAAAAGTGGACAGGAATGTGTCATCCATAGAGGAGATGAATAAAAATCCCAGAACTGAAGTCAATAGACTAAAGAAAACTACCAAATGCCCTGGGAAGCAGGTTAAAAACAATCCAAACCAAAGCACTGCGACATTAGAGACAAACATTTAGTGCCAAAATGTTCTAAAGAGAGGAAGAGTTTTATCCAAAGTACCAAGAATCAGACTTTTGAACTGTGATGTTGGAAGCGAAAAGGAAATGAAGCAAATGCATTCAGGGGCTCTGTGAAAAACTACTTTCCACCTACAGTCTGAAACTGGTGCGCTATTGGTCAAGGTTGAGGGCATTCTCAGAGTGTCTTCTCCTCTGTGTCCTTTTGTAAAAATCAAGATGTTTTACCAAAACTGTAAAACAGAAGAGAGTAGATCCCACAAAAGTATTAAACATAGTGGGGGGAAAAAGAGGAAACTCCTGAAAGGATGAGAGGAGACCCCAGAAAAACAACTGCTACACAGAGACTGGGGAGCAGCACGGACCCGAGCAGTCTCTGCACTGTGGGGAAGAGGGCGTCAGATCCAGTGTGTGTGACTGAACCCTGGTCCTCTGCAAGAGCAACAAACTCCTAACTGCTAAGCCATCTCTCCAACACCTAAATCACAGTGCTTTTAACGTTTAGATACTGAGAGCATTGCAGTGAAAGCTAACGAAAGCAAAGCAGCATCAAAGAAAACACCATGTTTTATTCCTTCAATATCCACTGTGGCTGAGCCATAATGACATAAGAACTAAATGTTGAGCTAACCAATATTGTGCCTCTGTTGTCCTATAAAATTGGGAAGGTAGAAAGTAGGTAGGCAGGCTAAGACTGAGAGATGTAGCTAAGTCCTACATGGGAGGTCTAAAAGTTCTCAGTGACACTGTCTTTATCTGTTTCTGTGTCTATCACAAGCCTATAAGAAAAAGCTTATTTAGCTCACTGTTTTGGAGAGTAGAAGTGATCCCAAGTGTTTGGCGTCCAGTGAGACAGAACTCCTTGGGTGGGTCACTGCATGGTGGATGGTGTCATAGTGGCAGTGCATGCA